GGGCCCCTAAGGAATCACCGGGCCCCTTACGTGGGGGTGGGGGAGGTGTTTTTAACATTAAATACACCCTTCTCAACAGGCGAGGGCACACTTTCTGTCTATAATCACATATTTCAATTACTTGAAACCATTCCTCCCTCCCTGGCACCTCCAGGCCCAGGCCCCCATCCGGCCCGGTTTGGGGGGCAGCAGCCCCCCCAGCCCCTCCTATAGCTCCGTGCCTGGGTTGTAGGATTTCTCTCCTATCTTTTTTAAGTAATTTCTCCTGCTGGCACTAACCTACCATGTTTGTTTTGGTTGTATTTACCCAGAATGCCCTGCAGTATTGTTCTCTTCCTGCTTTTGGAGCAGTATCCGGTCCACTTGGCATGAAGCATTTGATTTATGCCAGAGTTCACTTCAAACAAACCAAGACTGAGGTTTGTTTGAATCAGGACTATAATCAGGACTATAAACCTGATTATGCATTCACACCTCCACAAATGAACCGGACCTTCAAAGCAAAGAAAATAAAGTTTTATTAAGGAGGACTGAACATAGCTGGTGTGAACACACCCTACATTTTCAACAAATACAGTACTGAGGAGTACATCCTCACCAGGCAACATCGATCTGCAGTTTGTGAACAAGTTCCTTCTATTTAACAAGAAACAACGTAAATCTTTGTCATCGTCCTGTTTACTTCCTAACCTTAAAGTATTTGTGCTTTGACTGTGAAAGGTTCTTGCACGCTTATATTTTTTTTTAAAAAGACATTGGAGAAAGAGGTTAAAATGATAGAAAAGGACACAGGCGTCTGCTGAACTGAGGGAATATTTTATGAAACCAAAGCCAGACTCCCTTCCACAACACGAAGCAGCTTTTGTATGCATTACCAATTTATCTGGAGCGCCAGGATGGTGTGTGTGGCTGCAGGACTGCAAGGCTGGATTGTTTAACCTCAGACATATATATATATATATATATACACCTGCACAGAGCATACATTCAGTTTCTTCATATGTGAGGAAACTGAATTTCCGCTCAGTTGATTCCTCTGCAGTTTTCTTGTTGTTGTAATTGGATTCATCCTCATGTTGCTGACAGAGTTTTGTTCTTTTGTGGTTTTTAGATTAGTTTCCGTTACATTTTATCTCCTCTAATGAAAACCCACGAATATCCTGGAGATTGTTAAATTTTTCCACAGCATCACTGGTAATGTTGGAGAAAACGTCTTATTAAACATTATGTGATGTTAACGGAGCATAAATGGGACATCACGCCACTCGATTTAGACACTGAGGTTTAGAGGGAAGCTGTTAACAAGCAGGCGAGAAATAAAGAAATAATAATAACTGTATTTATTGCATCTTGTTTTCAGCCCAGAAAATTTGATTCGGTTTGCCGTATCCTGCAGCTCCACTTGAAATAATTAAAAATCTAAAAATGTTTTAACACCTGAAGGCATCCTAGATTCAGTGGCTTATTTTTTCCTCCACTGAGTACCCTGAGAGTAAAGCCTTGACAGCTTCCACCCTCTCTTAACATCCTCACCCTCCTTCCTCTCGCCTCCTCCTCTCACTGCCTATCACCCTCCCTTCTTCTGCTCCACATACTGAAAAAGCGGCGCTCCGACTCAGGACACACGCATAATAAACCGGAGAAGATTTCAGGCTCTTCCTTTCAGCTCCTCTAACTTACTCTGTGTCTGACTTCTCTCCAGCCGGATCTGCACAAACGCTCGTCATTGTGTTTCCAGGAAGCATTTCATTTGTGCCGCGATATTGTGAAACGTTCTCCAGACTTAGAGGAGCGCCGTTTGGAGCTGAAGGCCTAATTCTGCCTCCTTTGTGGATGTAAATAGGTCTGGTTGTTTCTGACGTGGTCAGGCGTTCCTGGTCTGTTAACATTGGCTGTTACACTGTAAAAACACAAAGGCTCTCCAAGTCATTTTGGTCTAGTTTCTACAGCAAATATCTTGAAATAATTATTTCACTACAATCATGGGGAAATTGTCTTGTTATAAGTTAAATAATCTGCCAGTGGAACTAGAACTTTTTCATGAATATTAAAGAGTTATTGGCTTAAAACGAACTCGTATATCTTACTGAAAAGTTATGTTATTTTTGTCTTATTTAAAGTGTGCTGAGGTATTTGCACTGGAAACTAGACCAACATTTTGTGTTTTTGCAGAGTGGGAAAGCCTGCCGCAATAATCAATTAATCATTCATGGTTTCAGTTGTTTGTGGTGTTTCACTGCAAAAGCACAAAATCTTTCCAAGTGTTTTTTACCAAGTGAATAATTTCTTTCTTTTAATGAAAAAGGTACTTTTTCATTTAACCGGATAATAATCTGCCAATGAAACTTTTTCATCAATATTAAGGAATTATTTGTTTAAAAATGCTCCTAAATCTGAAAAGTTACTTTTAAGCTCATTTTGTCTTATTTCAACTGTTTTAACTTATTTACTTTACAAACTAGACCAAAGTTACTTGGTGAGATTTTGTTTTTGCAGCTTTACTTTCTTTTTCATTTATCATTTTTGCTTGTTGTGTTTTATTCTGGATTTCTAAAATGTTTTCCAGTTCCAACTTTAACGTGTTTTGTGAAAAATTAAAGTAAAACTTTGTGTTTTTGCAGTCTGCTGAGACTGCTGATTCCTTCTCGCCTTCAGTTTTCTATTTGTACGGTAATAAGCAGCTCAAAGTTAGTTTTATTTTCTCTGCAGCCAGCAGAAGTTTGGACACACCTACTCAGTCTGAATTAATGGCCACAATTAACCCGAGTGTGGGCGACGGGGAGGAAGGCCGACACGGTCACTGTCACTCCGCCTCGGCCGACACGCTGCTGATTTGCTGCGTCAAAGTGCCGTTTTTATGTGAGAAAAGCAAACTATAAAACTTCATTTGTTTGCAATCTTTAAAACGACACGAAGGGCTCTTTGTAGCGGAAATGTATTGATTTGGATTTTACTGCCTCACTATTTATCAGCATTAAGGAGGTTAATAAAAAAAACTCTCAAGTACAAGTAAGGTACTCCTAATTTGACCGAAACTAACTAAACGTTATTCAAGAAGTTGAAATTCTTGAGAAAAAATAGAAAAAACAAGGAAATCTGGTGTTATTTATGTAAAAAGGTGGTGAGAATATTACCTTTAAATTTATGAATCACAATCAAAACTTCAGGTTTCATCAGTGAAGCAGTTTTGCATATTCTGCTTAAGTATGCTCATGTCGATTCCTCCTCGGGCGAAGGCTTGTGAAGTTCATCCATGATGACGTTGTTGCTGTGCGAGCGCTGAGCAATGCCTGACCTTTTGCACATGCACTACACAAAGGTCAAGTTTGTGTGTGGTGGCGGCCGCCTGACGAATGCGTCGCCTGGCTGGGCACGGCTTCACAGCGCGAGTCGCGGTGAGCCGCTCAGCGGGGGTCCAGTTACAGTCCACAGGCGCTCAGGAAATTAACGCAAAAACAGAAAACATTGTGCAAAAAAAATTAAACAGAAGTATAAATGTCTAAATGAGGTAAAATATCAAGAATTAAACTGAACTTCTGTCACAAATAGTGAGATAAATTTCATATGTGTTAGCTAAAACTCGTCCTGCTGGAATAGTTTTTAACTAAAATGCATAGGAGGGAAAAAGTAAAGCAAAATTTGGGATAAACAAATAAATTTAGTTAAAGTTTTGCCCTTAAAGGCAATTTTAAATATAAAGAATGTACCATGTTTGAGCGTTCAGCTGATCAGTACACTGTATCTATATTTCACTTTAACCAACTCTGTTGAGTTGAAACTTTAGATCAACAAAAATTATTTATTTTTCAGAATATGTCAGATATTTATTTATTAATTAAGTTTACATACATTTCCTCGTTTCCTCATTATTTGCAGTTTTGTTTTGTGACCAGGCAAAAAACTTTTAGCAAATCAAGCTAATGAGATGTTTTTGCCACCATGACTTTTTCTGTAAAACTGCTGTTCTATGTAAAAAAATAATTTAAAATCATTCACTTGCCTTTTGCTTCATGTAATAGTAAGAATGTATTATGCAACCTTATTTGCTGACAAAAACTGATGAGTTTTATCTGTTTTAACTATTTTTGTAAATTACATGTTATTTTTTCAGTAATTCTCATTTCTTCTGTCCCTCCAGGTCATCAAATCCGACACCTTCAAGCAGCTGAGGCACCTTGAAATCCTCCAGCTCTCCAAGAATCAGATACGCCAGATTGAAATCGGGGCATTCAATGGCCTCCCTAACCTCAACACGCTGGAGCTCTTTGACAACCGCCTCACGTTGGTGCCAACACAGGCCTTTGATTACCTCAGCAAGCTGCGGGAGCTGTGGCTGCGCAACAACCCCATTGAGACCCTCCCGAGCTATGCCTTCAACCGAGTGCCCTCCCTGCGTCGCTTGGACCTGGGGGAGCTCAAAAAGTTGGAATACATCTCAGATGCAGCCTTCGTGGGCCTCGTCAATCTACGGTACCTGAATCTGGGCATGTGTGGGCTCAAAGACATTCCTAAGCTGACGCCTCTCGTGCGTTTGGAAGAGCTGGAGTTGTCGGGGAACCGTCTGGATATTATTCGTCCGGGATCCTTCCAGGGTCTGGTGTCTCTTCGGAAGCTGTGGCTTATGCACTCGCAGGTTTCTGCCATTGAGCGCAATGCCTTCGACGACCTGAAAAACCTGGAGGAGCTTAATCTGTCCCATAACTCACTGCGCTCCCTGCCTCATGATCTTTTCACACCCCTTCACCAGCTGGAGAGGGTGCACCTCAATCATAATCCCTGGGCCTGCAACTGTGATGTACTTTGGCTTAGTTGGTGGTTGAAGGAGACGGTGCCCAGCAACACCACCTGCTGTGCCCGATGCCATGCTCCTCCACTACTCAAGGGCAAGTACATTGGGGAACTTGACCAGAGCCACTTCACCTGCTTTGCTCCTGTCATTGTAGAGCCTCCTACCGACCTCAATGTCACCGAAGGGATGGCTGCTGAGCTGAAGTGTCGCACAAGTACCTCCACAACGTCAGTTAACTGGATTACGCCTAACGGCACACTGATGACCCATGGGTCTTATCGGGTGCGGATATCCGTTCTTCACGACGGCACACTGAACTTCACAAACGTCACCCTGAGGGATACGGGCCAGTACACCTGCATGGTCACCAACGCTGCTGGAAACACCACAGCTACCGCCGTTCTCAACGTGTCTGCTGCTGATGCCAGTGTCAACTACACCTATTTCACCACCGTTACTGTGGAAACAGATAACGGAGGAGCTAATGATTATGCACAGGTTTCCATTGACGAGGCCAGCATTCCCATTCCTTCGGACCTGTTGCCAGAAGTGGTTCCTACCACCGCCTCCTCTCTGGCTGGCGGCTGGTCGTCCTCCTCTCCCCGGACAACTCAACCCACGTTCACTGTGCCGTTCACGGAGCCGGGATTCTCTGGCCTGGACGATGTGATGAAGACCACCAAGATCATCATTGGCTGCTTTGTAGCCATCACCTTCATGGCAGCAGTGATGCTGGTGGTGTTCTACAAGCTGAGGAAGCAGCATCAGCTGCACAAACACCACGGCCCTGCTCGCGCCATTGAGATCATCAACGTGGAGGACGAGCTGGGACCCGGGGCAAGTGGCCGGGGCAGCGGTATCTCCGGAGGATCCACTGTGACACAGAGCGCGGGCGGTGGAATAGGCGGGAGCCAGAGCCTTCGGTTGCACCACCCGGAGATTGTGAACCTACCCAACCTGGCACGGTCGGATCACCTCAACCACTACTACAAAACACATCACTTCAACAGCAACATGATGGGCCTGGGAATGGGCACAGGGTCAGGAGTGGGCCTCAACAACAACAACAACCCCTCGCCGTGCTCTCAGTCGCAGAGCATATCCTGCTCCCAGGTCCCATCCAGCACCGGTGGGGGGACGTCCACTTGTGGCACCCTGCCCTCCACCGTAGCCCTGCCTCAGCTGGGTCTACACAGCTCTCTGAAAGGCCTGATGGGAAAAGGCCAGAATGAGCCGCTGCTTTTTAAGAGTGGCTCAAAGGAAAATGTGCAAGAGACTCAAATCTAAAAAGGTTTGAGGTAAGACAGAGTAGATGTTAAAGAGAGACCATTTGAGAGTGATTGTAGCCCAATGTCCTTAGGGACAATCTTTAGAAAGGCTCTACATAACCTTTATTTTGTGGTGGCCCTTTGTTAACAGATAGTAAGACAAAAGGAGACAGTAGACCAGTCCCTTAAACAGCATTTGCACAGTCCCAAATGTCAGAATTACTCATTGTGTGCAGCGTGATACGGTCTTTGCCAAAGCTCGAGATCAAGCCTTTTCTCTCAGCGGACAGATGTGAACAATGCACGCGTGCGGCGAGCCCTTCAAGGATGTATACAGATTGCTTCGTACATTTCCAGATGCATTCAGTGTATATATTTGGAGGGAGACGTGATAATGGCCATTGAACACGTTGTCAGATTAGTGTTTGGCAAAGCCAGGGAACAAACAATGATTTGTGCGAGCGGGCGGTCCCAGGTTTTCAGAAGAGGCGACATGAGAGCAGAGCAGCAAGGCCGCTTGGAATATCGGAGGAACAAGAAGTGGTTTTGCTCTTCGCTTTATCACGGCTTTTCAATTTTACACCTTACTGGTTACTGTCTTCTTTGGGAGAGGGGAAATATCACGAAGGAATGAAGGACAAGATTAAGGAGATATGAAAAAAAAAACTGAAGATACATATTATATATACCGTAAATATATTTTCATTCAAATAAATAAATAAATTATGAAAAATCTTTATCAAGCAAATGAGTGACCACTACGACGACTGAAGAATATATATATTTAAAAAAAAAAAGTTTTAAAAACATGCCCTGTCGTTTTAGTAGACCAACCCCTGGTTACTACTTTTCCGAACTGCTCTTCCTCTGGATAAACATGAAACAGCGGAGTTACAACGCAAACCTGGCAAAAACAAAAAAAAACAGAAATTATTTTGGTGTTGACTTTTTTTCGTAGCCGTTTTCCCTCCTGCCTACAGAAACAGGGTCTTTGAGAACGGAAATGTTCTGCTGTCTGCTGCAAAACCACAAGCGCATCGAATATGGTGGCACTAATGATAATCCTGACGGTAATAATGATAACAAATTTAGCTTTATTTGTCATCAATGCATTTAAAATGATGAAACATTGGAATAATTTGACATGCTAATGACATTAATGTTACTGTGCTATCATTATTGCTCACGTGAGTATTATTGTTACTGCACAGATGGCCGAGAAAAGACGTTTTTCATTCGTACATGACGCTGATCTCATTGGGCAGATTTAAGCGAACTCATCAGCAGGAATTGACCCGGCTCGTAAAATGGCTTCCTGGACCCCGGTTGACCCCGGTTGACCCCGTCCGATGGGACCCTCATGCTGTCTGACATTACGGACGAAGACTGCACCTTTTTGCAGAGTGGATTTGATGGCAGCAGGGGGCGAAAATGGACGGACATTTTTTTAAAAAGGTAAGAGACGCTGGTCTGCTGGAGGCTGAGATGCATTTAGTGCAGAATTCAATGGAGGGTGAATTTTTTTCTAAAGAAAAAGGACAACTAAATGAAAAAAAATATAGAATCTTATAGATCTCTTTTAAAAAAATGAAACAGAATTATTCTAAGTGTTTTTCATTTTTTGTTTTTAACTAGTTTGATTTGATTTTATTTTTTAAATCACGTGTTATCTTTATTGTAATATTGTTATTATTATTATTAGCTGATTATGCTGAAAGATGTTCTGTTAGCAGAGGTCACTTTGAAAAATTAAAAAAACTTGGCACATAAAAAAAAGGCAGTTGAAGTTTGTGAAAATTCGGTGGCTGTTTCCTTTAGTTATTTTTTATTTTCGTCACCCTCTGATCAGCTCTAATCGTTGTATCACTGTTTGTATCCCTGTAGCGAATGTGGTTATTTTTTTATTTAGTTTTTTTCTGTTTACATTTAGTTTCTGCACAGAGGGACAGGAAAAAAAAAAGGCTCGCCGTGTACATTTGTGAATGTCATCGCTGACCGTAGTGCTCAGAGCGTGACTCTGCTATGTCAACGCCTCGTTGCCGTGACAACGCACTAATGCGCCAACCGGCGTCTGCCCCCCGTTCACCCACTTGTTTGTCGGATCCTCTGAAAGGCGCCGCATCTCGCAGAGCCGGCCCGTGTTCCTACAGCGGCAGCAAATCAACCTCAGCATTAGAGCCGTGTCCTCATGCTAAACACCCTCCGCTCTTCCTCTTCCTCCCTCTCTTCCTCCTCATCCTGCCATCAGGTTTCCCTGGCAACTGTTGCTGCTGCGACAGCCCCTTATCACAGCGTCTTGATTTGGGTTTTGAATGCTAAGCAGATGAGAGCAGACAGTTCAGAACTTCATGTTTTTTAAACCATTCCCATTTCACACCAATATATTTTAGCAAGCCGCTAACTCTCGTACATTTACTTGAAGATGTAGCCACAATACTGCATTAGCTGCCTTAAAGTCACACCCAGGTGGAAAAACTGAATGGACTAAAATCTGAAGACAAGTTCAGTTCAGACAAAGAAATCTTGCGAATATCATCTTCTAAATCTTTACTTTTTGTCACTTGAGCATCACATTTATTTTCATAAATGCTTAAGGTTACAGTGGTACAAAGCTAGCTGGGCTAACCCTAAAGCACAAGTCATAAATATTAGTTCTGCTAAAGAGCCGTACCAACATGGTATTTAGCAGAAGCTAATGCTAAAGCACTAATCATAAATATTAGTTTAGCTAATGCTATAGCACAATACCAATATGGTAAGTACCAGTAGCTAATCCTATGACATTAATCATAAGCATTGGTTTCACTAGCTTAAGCACTATATTAACTTTAGAACAAGCTAATGCTAAAGCACTGCTAAACATTATTTCCACTAGCTTAAGTGTTTTATAAAGCCATGGTTTTTAGCAAAAGCCGATGCTAAAATGCCAAACTCAGCTGTGGTGACACCCATCTTGTGTCAATGTCACTTTTGTCGCCCACTACAGGATCAAATGAGTTATTACACACCTACCTGTGCGGTTGCACTTCAGGAAGTGATTCTTTGGAAATCATGGTTTCAGTTTTATCGTTGTTGAGAGTTGCTAAATGTAGCAGAACATTAACAGATTTTTACACTATTTACTGTAGAACTACAGCAATGCATTCTGGGTACAGAATAAATATCCAAGTTTCTTCTCGTGTGGGAAGAGAACCCAAATATAGCACTCAAGTAAGAGTAGCACTATTTAAACATATTTTTACTCAAGTAAAAGTAAAAAAGCATTTTGTTAAAAGTCCACTCAAGTACTGAGTAACTAATTATCAATCATTTCGTATTTAAAAATTACATCCAAAATATAGTTATGTGAAAATTTTGAAAATAAATCTTATAATTAACATAATTATAAAATGGCAAATGAAGGCAAAAGAAAAAGAAAATCCATATCAGTTTATTTCGATGTGAAACTTCAACAGAATCTGCAGGTCTGTGCGTCTGTGTCTGGTGAATTTTTGGTTATAAAAGTGGATACAAAATCCAGAAATTTTACTCAAGTAAGAGTAGAAATACTTCATAATAAAACCATTCAAGTAAAAGTAAAAAGTACAACGTAGTAAAAGTACTCCTAAAAGTAACTTCTTTTTTTCAAAACTTTCCTCAAGTAAATGTACCCAACTCTACAACTCTTGAGTGAGTGCAGGTGAGATGCTGTCTACTCCTAAACTCTCCGCACAACCCCACTTCAAAACATTTTAATTTGCATGTTCCCCGCTCCATTGCTAAACAAATTTATGCACCTTACACTTGTGATTAACACTCATTCTCTGCACAAGCTATTAGCATTTCCTTCTCCCAGCAGAGGGGATACAAGCCCCCCCCCCCCAAAGTTATTTCCATATTCATCTAACTGTGTGTGCAAATAACAGAAATTATCAGGCGGGCACGCTCCTGGGGAAGGATACGTGTGTAGCTTTCTGTCAGTATTTGTGCGCATCACAGGCTAAAAACGCGGTTTGGGCCGTGGACTCGCGCCCCGGCAGCTGCAGTAGCTGATGGCGTCTGTAAGCGGCGGGCAGCCCCCTCAGGCGCCTCTGAAGTGGCACAAACCAGAGGCTATGTTATTGAGGCTGGAGACACGCAGTCACATTGCTGCAGTGTCTGAGTCACGGAGCAGCGAACACGCTCCAAACAATCTAATGGAAATGCTGTGTTTGCCGTGCAGGAAGGGCCGCGCGTTCAGGGAAGAGGCGGAGAATCGCCAGGATTTAGGTGTTTGTTGCAGGAATGAAAACAAACCTGTTGTGCTGCTGTGTGAGGCGGAGGAATCTGAACGATTAGAGGTGTTTACGGCGTAAAGATGCTGCGTTTGAGGTTTCAGGTGGCCTGTAAGGGAGGAGGGGCACTGAGACCTCCATTTTAGATCCCAGCTCGCTCTCTCTGCTTCGGGCTAATTTTTATGATCCTCTCACTGACACTTTAAGTAAGGACAGGATATTTTTCCACTGCTTAAGCTGCTCCTCCTGCTCTGCCTCTGCACAGAGTCGGATAATAACTAGTTACATTTACTCAGTTACGTTCAGCTGAGTAACTTCTGGAAAAATATTTACTTTTTACTTTTACTTGAGTCATTTTATTATGAAGTATTTCTACTCTTAAGTAAAATTTCTGGATTTTCTACCGTTTGAATGAAAAACAAACATGTTTTAATCAAAATTCACCAGACAGACACACACCTGCAGTTTAGAGGTTTTTATATAGAAAAGAAAAAACAGATTTGTAGAAATTTCTTTTGCCCGATGTTATTTTATTTTTTTTGTTGCTTATATAAATTATTGGCATTTTGTTCCTTAAAATACCAAAATGCCCACTTAACTTTATATTTTGGTCTGTCTGTTGATGTAATTTTTTAAACATTAAATGATTGATCATGTGATCAGTTAATCTGTACTTTTTACCAAATACTTTTTTACCATTACTTGAGTAATTTCTTGGACAGATACTTTTTAGTTTTACTTCAGTAAAATTATGTTGAAGTAGAGCTACTCTTATTTGAGGAATATTTATCGGGTTTCTGTGGAGCACAAATGAGCAGTCAGCGTCTTCCTAGCTAAGTCGTTGCCTTCCAATGCAATTGTCTTTGATTCTCATCTCCCTGCTGCACCGTCTCAGATTTCCCCCATTCAGCTTGATTTCTCTGGCAGAATTTCAACCAATCAGCGAACACCAGTTTTGATGTCAGCTTTCTGCGCTGATTTAAAATTTTAGTCTGCCTGTAGTTTTAGCGATGGCAGCGGAGAAAGTGAAATATGGAATTAGCATTAGCTGTGTTTACACTGACCATAAAATTGCACAAATTGGAATTATGAAAATAAATTTGCTTCATGAAAACCCGGCAATTTGTTTTAGTCTTTTGAGGGTAGATATAATTTGAATTGAAGTTAGCGCTTCAGCATTAGCTTCTGCTAATTATAGTGTTTAACATTTGCAGAGCTGTTTATGGTAATAATTAGTGCTTTGGCAATATCATAATGAATGTTTATTATTATTAATGCTTCAGTATTAGCAGAATTAATGTTCATGATTAGCAATTTAGTGTTAGCAATGCTACTGTTTATGAATAGCACTTTAGCATTAGCATAATTAATGTTCACTATTAGTACTTTACCACTAGCAGAACTAATGTTTATGATTATAACCACAGCATTAGTGGAACTAAAGTTTATAAGTACTGCTTCAGCGCTAGCAGAGTAAATGTTTATGGTTAGCACTTTAGCATTAGCAGAACTAATGTTTCTCATTTGCAGCTTGGTTTTAGAAGAACACATGCTTATGGTTATTGCTTTAGCATTAGCTGAACTAATGTTAGTGATTAGCTTTTTAGTGTTAGCAAAACTAGTGTTTATGGTTGTTGCTTTGGTGTTAGCAGCTAACTTTTTAGCTAGCAGGCTCACCACTGGTGTTGACCCTGTTGTTAGTCATAACCTTGTGTATGAAAATGATCTGAAGCTGCTCCCTTACGGTCGGTGAGGTAATCTGAGATGTGGTTGCGTTCCTCCAGGCTCGCTCTGGCCAGCAGCGCCACAAACCCAGCGCCGTGTTGGTCCCTGAGGGCCGCTCTGCACACATGTTAACCTCGGCTCTACCAGCCCTCTGTAAGCCCTGCACAACTTAATTTCTTTTTCGACACCCCCCCACCCTCCTTCCTCTTTAAAAATAGCAGTGAAGCAATAGCAGAGCTTAATGCATTATTGATACATATGGTGTCAATGATGCATGTGTTGAGGCACCGGCGCTAATTTTCTCCACATTGCTGGGGCCAAGAGCATCAAACCGTCTGTAATTTATATGCGTCGTTATTGCTATTATTTTTCACAGCCCCATCAGGAAGCGCGTTGGAAGCCAAATGTTGCAGCTTCTCTTCTCACATGACGGCTGCTGTGACTCTGAGACGTGCAGGAGTGTTTTCTGTGCCACTGTGTCACCTAGCAGTCACCATCACTACGCCAAGCCGTCTTATCATAAAATCTGCTTCGACACACTTCCAATCCAGATTTCTGAAATTGGTTTATGACTATTAGACATACTATAAAATTAAAATAACTAATTATATTTTGACTAAAACAAATAGCTAACTCTAATTAATTACATTCTGACTGGTATAAATGACACCATTAAGTTTAATGGAAGCTTTAATTCAATTAATCTGCAATTAAATCATGACTAGTTATAAGGTCAATTTAAGATATTGCTTTTCATTCTGACTAGTCATAATTCTAAAAAAAAGGTCTTAAATGTATTTTAGATACATAAATAGATTAGACTGTTCAAGTTAAATTGCAGATGTCTTGAAAGCAAATAAGGCTAAACTAATTTTGACTACTCAGATTTCCTCTAAAAATATATTTAGAGGAAGTCTGAGTAAAGTTCCCATTATTTTTAATGGCAGCTTTTCTATTTCAGATTTCTCAAAATAACATTCTGGGGAGTCAAAATTGCATTTTTGATATGTTAAATAAATATTTTGATTTATTTAGTCAAAACGTCACAGATTTACGTAGAACCTTTTGTATTTCAATAAGACAATAAAAAAATAGAAAAAAGGTTTTTGTAAATATTTTCAAAGTGCATCATGTTTGTCAGAAAAATATGAAATTATTCGCCAGATTTCTGAAGCGGTCTCCAGGTTTACAAAGTTTTGCATCGTCTTTGTCTTCCATTTTTCTACGTTGTAATATTTTCTGACAATTTTGGGCAAGAAAACCAAAATTCTGCAGGCAGTTGTTTGGACAGCTCAGTGGCAGCAGAAGGGGCGTACACGCATCTTAATTCAGATACATAGCAATGTTATTTTGACCAGTCATAATTAGATGACAGAGTGTTAGAGACATACTGAGAAAAAATCAGAAGTACAATTATGAGAATAAAGTCCATAAAATGAGAATAAATTTGTAAAACGAGAATAGTTATATTGTGACTTTTTTCCCATTTTATGTCTTTATTCTCATTAAACTGACTTCTTGTAATTAACTTTTTATTTTCTTAGCGTATAATAATGTTCCACATGTCTTTGTCATTAGGAATCCGTTGACGTTATGTACAACTTCTTCAAAGGAATTTTGAGTCATTAAAATGAAATTAAAGATATTTTTGAATTATTACTAGTCAGAATGTGAATGCAGAAATCTTAAATTACCATTCGGGATAGTCAAAATGCATTTTTTGTATTTTGTGATAGAACGGCTTGCCATACTGCTGCGGTTTATCACCGTCATGTCGCCTTGATGCTGATTTGACGACACCAGTTTCTGTTTCGTGGCCCGGTCATTCTGCTCATCGCATCATGTAAAATAAAATTGTCAGACATGAAAGTTGTTTATTTCTTTTCCCGGGAGACTGAGAACCGCAGCGGCCGCTCGCCGCCGGGGAATGAGTGATTTATCGACCCGGCGTCCTCCAGCAGCTTCCTGCCGAGGTTAATGCAAACTTCTGCTGCCTTCCTGTGCTTTACGCCCTGTGAAGGTGTCCTTAATTTGAGAATGGCCGACACTTTAGCGCATGGCTTAGTCCCTGGTTGCCATGGAAACCGCACCTCCGGTCACAAGGCAGCCATGATGAGAGCAGAGGCGTGTTTTCTTTTTTCCCTTCAGGGCACAAAGTGTGGCGCAATAAAATTAAAATTTTATCTAAATGCAATGCAGACAGAGGGATATACTAGAAACAATAATACGAGAATAAAGTCATTGAATTACGAAAATACCATCGAAATAATAAAATCGTAATATTAAAATAACAACGTAAAATAAGAATAAAGTTACAGGAGAAAAAAGTCAAAATGAAATGAAATATCAGATTCATGTGGCGTTTTATTAGGACGCTCAAAGATGCTCGACACTGTAAGCTCGTAATATGAGAATAAACACAAAATAATAATTCGAGATTAATCTCAGAATTTCGATATTTTTCAAGCAATTTCTTCAACTTTTTAAACAGAAACCTCTAGAAAATTTCTCCAATTAAGCTCAAAATTCCTGTTTTTTTTTTTTTCGTATTTTGAATTTTTTGTAGTCAGAAATGTTCTTTTTTTTTCTAGGACATCATTGAGATTAATCTGATTTTTTTTTCAAGCTAACTTTTGACTTTTCAAGCTCAGAAATTTTCATTTTATTCTAGAAATTCTCTGAAGTTAATCTAAAAATTCTGAGCTTTTTTCCAAGTTAATTTTAAACTTTTCAAACTTGGAGATTTTTAAGTTTTTTTTTTAGATTAATCCAAACATTTCTCAGTTTTGCTCCTTTTTTCTTGGATTACCCCAGCATGCCGTCGCATTAGCTGGCCTCTGTTGCGTCTCCTTGTAATTATTTGCATTATAGGAACACGTTTCCTCCAGATCGCTGACTGATCTGCTGAGTGATGTCAGGCCGCTGTTATCTTGAACGCCTCTGTGTTTTGCAGAAACCCTGCAGCCTTTGTGTTGCTGAAAATTCTTTGTGATTCCACTGGGGAAGAAAAAACAGCAGATCTTGACATGTTCAAACGACGCCTGTCGTTCTTGGATCCTGAAACATTTGAGCTCGGTTTTCACCCAGCATGCACCGTACCACGGAGATTTTTTTCTCGCCTTCACGTTTGGAAAACAATCTTTGCTGCTGCAGCTGTTGTTGGGATGTGGAAAACACTCCTTGGGATTTTTACTGGAAGGTTTTTGAAGCAGCCTGAACTATTAGCGATGTGCTGATCCAGCAGCTGCTTCCTCTCAGAGGACGAACTCTCACTTCCTCATCCATCCTCGCTGTTCCTGGGTGTTTTCTTCACTCGCTGTCATAATTACACTGCGCTGTTTGATGCTCGTTTGGTGGATTCAGATTAACTTTCAAATGGAAAAACTTGGAGCAGGTTGAAGTTTTACAATATCCAAAGCTTTAAAAATCCCCCAGATATCTGATCAATCCATCAGTTGATTATGGGGGGAATATCGACTAACTGCAGACCTAAGTAGTAAAGAAAATAATTGAATATTTCAGCTAAATCTTCCACATGTGGATATAAAACGTAACTTGGCACAGATGTTACCAGAACGCTGCATTTGAAAAGAAAAAATACAATTAGCAGATAAAAAAAAAATCAAGATGGCCACCGGGGAAAACATATTTTTGCATGAAGTTTGTCGATATTTATCACAAATGGATACTTTGTGATGAAATTCTACATAATTGGACCCATAGAAATCATTTTTACTGATGCCGCTCCACACAAGATGTCGCCCTGGGCGGTTGCCCACGTTTCCCATACCAGAGTCGCCAGAAAATGACTTAAGTAAAAGTAAAAAGTACAGCGTAATAAAAATAAATTTTCAAAATAAAGCTATGAGTATTTTCTACCAAACTCCGGAAGTGAGTGTGGATTTGTTTTTAATCTGGGGTTCTGGTCCGAGTGTTCGGGTGGCGCAGGCCTCAGCGGACAGCAGGCCCACTCTCTGCTTGCTCGGGTCAGAGGCTGTTTGGTCTCCGAAAGGTGAAACTGGAGCAGAAATCAACTTTGACCCAGACAATCCTGCCCAGCTGAGCTCCGAATCAGAACCGCTGCTCTGTCCCGGAGAACTGCCATCCAGACGGATCAACTTTGGATTTCTCTTTATTCTTCTCTTCCTGTCGTGTCGGCCGGTGAGGGAGGCGACGTCTCATGAATATTTGTTTATTTATCCGCTCTGGCCTCATTTCTCGCTCATTCTCACTCCGACGTGACACAGACGCACGTTCGCCACGAGCGGCGTGCGGTCGGCACAGCGTAGCTCTCCGCTGCATTCTGTCCCTTTATTCCCTGATTTTCTGTTTTGTTTTTTCTGCCCCTCGTCGTGTTTACCACGCAACAGCTTCTGTCGCCTCGGGCTTCCCCCCCTCCACAAGCCCGGAGGAAAACGAGGGACAACGGAGGCACAAGTATGGACAGAAAGGGGCAGCAGGAATGAAGAATGGCACTGGAGGACGTCTTGTCGCGTTATGTTGTTATGAATTAAGCAATTTAGCTACATAAGTTAAAACATTTTCATCTGAGTGCAGGGCCGGTCCAGGCATTTCTGGGGCCCTGAGCAGATTTTCACCTGGGGGCCCCAACATGTCAACACCAGATGCTTCATCGTTCCTAAGCTACTCTATGGCTGCTATCATAATTAGCTTCATTTATCGTTAGCTTACATCATAGCAGTGCTGCTGTAGCTGTTGGTTACTATGGCAACAGACTTAAAAGAAAGAATTATATTTTGAAATGCAGAGTGGTGTTTAAGTGAACAATTTTAAAGTAACACTAAATTATTGTAAATAATTACAATAATTATTTACTATATTTACTATGTATTATTTCTATAACATTTATAAAAAAATAATATATAAATCGCTTTTGCACTTAGTTTGTATTATTCAATGTTATTTTAGATATAAATATTTTACAAGGCTAGCTTGTTGCTCTTGGGGGACCCCTGGTGGTGTGGCGCCCTAATCAGCCGTTTAATTTGCATTGATTTGGGCCAGTCCGGTCTGAGAGCGACTGCAGCGGCATAAAAAGTGCAAAATATGCAGAATAATTATTTATAGTTAACATTTTCTGTATTTGTCGGCATTCTGTGCATTGAAAACTGCCTGCATACATCAGAAAGAACTTATCTGCTGCCCTGGGTGGCAGTATTATGCTGCGGGAATTCAGGGAGAGGAGAGATGATAAGAGACAAAGACATGACAACATGATTTGTTTAGCAACTGAAAATCTATTCCGACACTCAGATCAAAAATGAAACATTAAAAATTTTAATTTAAACACGTAAGCCTTTTTTACACTAAATTAGTTAATTTAAAGACACAAATAAACAAGTAATAAAATTCCCTCTTTAAATAAGAAAATAAACATTTTATTGCCTAAAATGCATTAACATTCGTTAGTGAACATGAAGCAAATGAAGCGAAAGTATTACCACTTCAGGAGTTTTGGCTGAAATATATTTCGATGTTTTTAGCTTTGAAACTTGTATATATATTTTATAGTTTTGCCTTTATTACTGCTCTGAATAATTAAGTCTCAGTAATCGATTTATTGTGACTATTCCGATTAATTGTTTCAGCTCCAATAAAAATATAATGACCTGCAGGATGAGGAGCTAATATGTGACCCAGAGCCAGAAGGGAAATTATTCCTCTCCGTTTCCAACACAGGGATTCAGAGGAGCAGCATGGCTCTCTACTCCTGCTCTTCTTCTTCTCGTTCTTCCAGAGATCGTCTCACATTTTCCTGCTTGTTCTCTCCCGACCCAGAGCAGAGAACAGAAACCATCTACCTCATGCCACTTCCTGTCACCGTTTCCCAACCTTCCACCTCCATCACCCCTGCAGCTAAATGTCGAGCTCCGGTTTTCATCCCCACAAACGGCAAGTGAGCTAACTGTAGCCACCGTTAGCTCACATTATTTAGTTCTATTTATTTATTTGTTTCAAGGATAACCACTTGAGACTCATCATCTCATTTTCAAGAGGTTAACTCCCATTAGCCACTGTTTGCTTCCGTTGGCCACTGTTAGCTCCCGTAAGCCCATCTTAGCTAGCTCCAGTTAGCCACTGTTAGCTTTCGCTCACCAGTGTTTGCCCTAGTTAGCTCCCATTACCCCGGTTTTTCCCGGTTGGCTCTCATTAGCTCCTGTTAGCTAGCTTTCGTTAGACCTCGTTAGCTCCCATTAGTCACTATTTGCCCTGGTTAGCTCCCATTCCTCGTTTCCTCCTGTTAGAAACTGTTATCTCTCATTAGCCCCTGTTAGCTTTCTCCTGTTAGCCACCGTTTGTCCCAGTTAACTCCCATTACCCTCATTTGCCCCCATTAGCCCGTTAGCGAGCTCCTGTTAGCCCCGTTTGCCCCTTCTACAGCACCACTGCGATCGTCTCTCAGGAAAACTGAAAACAAACCAAGGCCTCTGATATTTCCTTCCCTCTGTTCAATTAAACATGGCCTCCATCTGCTTCTTTGTTTTGCTTCGGTTTCTCTTCCGCAATATTGACTCTGGTTGTTTCTGTGATTGTTTCTTAAGACTGTGTTTTATCCTGTTATAACCACAGATGTGCATATTAACACTGGAGGAACATGTGAACAGGGTGTGTGTGTGCGTGCGTGTGTGTGTGTTTGGAGGTGAGGGGATGGGTTTGTTCTGCTTTAAGGTTCTGTGCCAAATCTTTTTCAGAACATTCAATCTCTGTTCATGTGCCATACTGAGAAATTTATGAAATAATAATTAAAAAAACAGGTTTTTCACAACCTTGCAGGAGAGATTGTGTTGCTTGTTCTCCTCTTCCTGCCGTTTCCGGCTCGGTTCTGCCGACCCGCCCTGGGTCCACCTGCCTGTGCGTGTGGGTGTGTTGTCTGTCTGAGCGCTAGCGCCGTTTGTAGCCTGCGGTGATCACTTAGCTCCAGCAGGCTGGGTTTGCCAAGAGGTCAGCGGCTCTGCGCCTCTGACTCCGGGTTGCTGTCGCTCTCCTCGCCATGAGCGCGTCTGTAAAAGACGAAGCGTTGGGGTTAAAACGCGCCGTCTGCCTTCACGTTTTTAAATCATTCAGTTAAAGACGCAAAAACTCCACATAAATGAGGATTTAGATCCAAATCTGAGAATCAACTCAACCCAACTAATCTGGCTTTTTGTAACAGAAGCCTTACAAAGTCAATAAAAGATCTGCTGTTTTGATTGACTCTGCAACGCATTTTAACATTTTACTAAGTAATAATTAGTGACAGATTGCTACGTTTTCATAATAAATAATTTAAATTGTTATGATTATGCATTTTCCAGGATCATAATACCATTTTACAGCACAATCAAGTCACTTTGTTATATTCAGTTGCTATTTTTATTCAAATATGAATATTTTGTATTGTACCCAATTTTTTTAAATCTTCATGTAAAAATAAAATCGCCAAATTTTGCTCATATTGACTTTGAGTTGTGGGCCATAGAAAGTCATTTGGGGGCCCACAAGTGGCCCTTGTGCCGCACTTTGGGACACCCCTGATTCAGAACAAGCTGTTCCTTTAAACCAGTAACCGGAAGAGATGTATTAAATTATTAAAAAGTGGGAAAGTTTTGCCTTTTCTCTCTTTCCCCTAATCAGATTATTGTGATCCAGTTACAAATTATGTTTTAGTCCTGCAGCCTTTGTGTGGGAGAACGAGTGGAAAACGGCAAAAAGGAGCAGAAATTTCAAACAAATTGTCCCGTTTTACATGATATCATGTTAAACGAGGTTTAAATCCCACATGCGTGTAATTTGTCTGTATTTTAAGATAAGCTTCAGCATGAGATTAAGCAGGAAGTTATCATCGGCGAACGAAGGAAACTTCAAAATGCTGATGCGACGCCACCTTGGCTGCAGTCTCACTGAGTGGATTATGCAAAGTCGCCTTGCAGTTCTCATTTTCACCTCGCCGCCTCTCGTTTCAATGTGACCCGGGGGTGGAGAGGGAAGTACATGAGAGATAAGAGGAGACTTCATGAAATCCAGGCTAATTTAAACGTGACAGAACAGCGAGGCGACTCGATCGCGGCGCTGCTTTACCTCTCTGGGTCAAACAGTCGGGATGGGAGAGGAGAAAAAAGAGCAAAGGATGAGGTGGAGGAGTCGGAGGAGGAGTTTTCCAAGTAATTGGCAGCTGATGAAGCACATTTAGACTTTTGTGATGCAAAATGTGAAATTTCAGTTATTCTATTTCTATCTCAACTGTTTATAAAAACAGCTCAAACACATAAAAACAAACACCAAGGCGTGTTTTTCTTTTTGTTTTTGGCAGTAAGTTCATGTTTTCTAGTATCTGGAAAATGAGCCATTTCTAAAACCTCCGGAATGTGACATCACAAATCAGCAAAGTGGAACACGTTACCTAGCAACGGCAGTGGAATTCCGCCCATCGCCTAGCAACCCGAGCTGAGCTCCAGCTCATTTGGTCAGCTGGTTTTACTGCTGAGCAACGGCTGTTGGAACAGACAAGTGTTTTTTTGTTTGTTTTTTTTTTTTGTTAACTTAGCATCCAGAATCCAGTTGCTGCATTCTTGTTGGTTGTGCAGGAGGCTCCACTTCTGCTTTTCAAATTTGTACGGTTGTATAATTTTTCATCTGTTTGTAGCCATTTTCATGCGTGAGTGTAAATGTTGAGCTGGGGGGCAACTGAGGTGTAGATTCCTGTCCAGACACGATATGAAAGGTACATTACTTTTTTTGTGCACTAAATTATTCTTGGATAATGATATTTTAGTTTTCTCAGTTCTGTCCATTTTTAGATCTTTTCAGAATGAGCTCTTCTAGAGAAATAAGCTGCTGCAGGCCACGCCTCCAACTCAGCTTTTACACTTTTATTTTTTCTTAACACTCTGACACTGTTTTCTATTTTGTTGGCCAAATATTTACCGTTCTTGATTTGAGATTCTTGATTTTCAAGGCCCACAAATGGCCCCATGAACCACACTTTGGTCAGCAACTTTAATCTAAAAAAAAAATCCAGCTGACTGCATAGTTTCACTCACTTTTCAGCAATCCCTCCTCCTGAGCAAGCATGTGGCGACAGTGGGAAGGAAAACAAGTCAATCATCTTCCTAAATGAGTAAAATGTTGGTTTTCCTTCTAGCAGCTTGTTGACTTTTACAGGAATTGCATCACATGTGCGGAGAATCGTGACGTTTTCGTCATGTCCGCTGCTCCTGCTGCGGTGCGGCAACCTCCGTCTGGAAGTGAAGGTCGCCATCCGTCCAGCCTGTGAAGGTCAGAGGCAGAGAAAAGGTTCCTTTAATTTGGCCTCAGGTGATGAACGGCCGCCGCCGTCTGCACTGATGCAGCTGTTGTAAAGCGTAACCTTGGAGACGGGGTTAATCATCCGTCGCTTCCCCTCCTCTTTAATCTGCTGTTCAGGTGTTTCACTGTATTCGCTCCTTTCCTTTCAAGCTCTCCGTTTCTGCGCCTCCACCGCCATCTTTGTGTCCGTCCTGCGGAAGGACATTTGTTTTGCTGTGGGGACAGAAGAGGATCGACATCGAGAGATGAGTTATTGATTAGAAAGCAGTGACAGAGAGAGCAGGAGAACGAAGACGGGACGACACACATGTCACACAACCTGCATGTAAAATCTCCATAGCAACACACAACCAGTCATGCAAGTAAACAGCAGCAGAGTCTTTACTCTATTTAGTTTGCAAACTAAGTATTTAGCTTCGAACATAAATTTTGCTTGCTCACTGAATATTCACTTTGGAGCTAAATATTTAACATCAAATGCTTTAGTTTCAGTTTCCTAACTAAAGATATAGTTTAGAGTAAAATATTTAGCTTTACTGCTAAATATTTAGTTTGGAGCTATAAATGTAGCTGAGAGCTCATCATTTTGTTTGCAACTAAACCATTAGTTTGCAGCTAACCATTTTGTTTGCAAACTAAATATCTTATTTAGAGTTAAGCATTTAGTTTTTAGTAATCAAGCTAAATAAGTAGTTTGCTAATTAGCTACAATATCAAATGTCTGAGGTCTCCAGGAAATAAACTGATGTTTATTTATGGCTATCAGAATAAACCGGGCTGAATAGAAATCAGAATCCAACGGTCATTTGAAACATTTTAAATATATTTTCTTATATTTAATTTGTTATGAACTACTAAGTGTTGGTCCGTCACATCTCTAACCTCCATTTGGCATTTTTGCATCAGGTATTTTTTTTTGTGCCTTCAGCTTTGGGACCATGTAACCATGGTTACAGCAAAGATTTACATTCAGACAGAAAGTAAATTTCAGATGCTGCGATTTCCCCGGATGCAGCCAGTGTTTGTGCAAACATGAAAAACTCGTCATAATCGGTGGATTTTCCGTAATCTGATGTTTCTGCACTCAGTGAGCCAGAGGACTGAACCGGACTGAACTGGAGATCTGCATTCTGTCGTTTTATCGCATTTAAATGTTTCAGATCTTTAATTATTTCTTAAAATCAGAAATAACCTGAGATTCTTAGAAAAGGTAAATAGTTTAGAAGAAACAGAAACGTCTTTAATCTTCATGGAGGAAAATTGTTTCAGTTCAGCATAAAGGTTCTGTTTAAGGTCACGGGCATAGCATCTCAACCAAGCCTGGACTTTGACTAGGCCACTAAAGAACTGGAAAATATAGGAAAAAAGCAAATCACACTTAGACAACATGGATGAAAGGAAAAAGGAAGGCAAGAAGAAAGGAAACTAAAAGGAAGGAATGTTTATGTTGAGATGTATTTAATAAAGTCTGGGGAATCAAATTTATTTTTGCTCTTATTTGTTTTTTTCTCTATTAATCCAAACCGTCAAAACAAGATGGAAAAATTACTTATTTTTCCATCTATGACGTTTTCAGGTAAAGTCCACGATAATCACATAATAAAATCACATAAACGCTTCGGGCCGCATGTGGCTCACAGGGAGAGAAGGTAGAACCGAACCAGAAGAGAACCAGTTCTCCCAAAATGAATCAAAATGTAATTCATTCCAAGGATTCGGCGAGGGACGGCATTTAACGCACAGCTGCCCATGAAGAGAAGCTTTTTCCTCTCTGGGGAGCAGCAGCATGTCCTGTCTTACCGGCAGCATCAACACAAACCAGCCAGCGCGCCCTGCGTGCGGCACCGCGCCGCGATGTGATGTCAACGTTCCAACGCGCACGTGGATCGCTTTGGGGACGTAGAGCGCATTATGATGGTGTGGCAGATAGAAAAAAGACAGAGGCGTAAATTTCTGGAAAAAAAAAATCTGAGAAATTTTTTGACTAATCTTTTAAATTTTCTAGAAAAAAACGTGGAAATTTCTGAGAAAAGAAAAAAAAAGCTTGAATATTTTTCCGACTGAGTTTTTCTCAAATTTTGAAATTAACCACAAAAAATGTCTTTTTTTTTCTTGCAATTTTTCAACTTTTCAAACTCAGAAATGTCAAATTTTTTCTAGAAAAATTCTGAGATTAATCTAAAAAATTCCTTTTTTCTCTCTTATTTTTTGTCCTTTCAAGTCCATAAATTTTCCTTTTTTTTAGCATTTTTTTTTACTTTTCAAATTCAGAAGTTTAAAAAATGTTTTCAGATAAAATTTCTAAGATTAAATTCCCTTTTCTAGAAAATTTCTTGGTTATTTTCAACATTTCTGAGTTTTCTGGTGGAAATTTACTCATTTTTTTCTATTTACAATGTCCCTAATACGCCGTCACAGATTTTTATTGTATAGTTGTTTATACTACTAATTAAACCCGACCGCCATGGCGCTTCTCCGTGAACAGTTTAGTCTCCGAAGCGACCCGCATGCGCAGAAGAACGTTGACGTCACACAGTAGCGCTCTGTTTACGGAAGTATTGCTGGACGGCGCCTTTTATGGGTTCATTTTAAATGTTATTCAGCGATGGGAGTCGAAAATATCGTCACATGATCATGACAAGACTAAGGAAGGTAATAAAAATACAACACAACTACTAGCAACAGCTTTATGTCCGATTTAGTGCTACAGAGCTCGGATTTTGGGTCTGCAGTGAAGAAGCCGGATATTTCTGATTCGGAGGGAAAAAAGCGGATTTGGGTCGCATTTGCCTGCTGTGTGAACGTAGCAAGCCATCAACAGAAGGAGATGAGAGTACTTGAGCTGATAGGATCACAGGCTCCGGTGGTGGATAATTATCTGGTATATTCAGTTTTAAAGGCTTCTGCAGACTTTAATAAATGGGACAAAATCTATAGAAATGTGATGCAGTTAAGAATGCATTACAGGCAATCAGCATCCCACGCCTTGTTGCACAGATCTGCAGACTGAAGTGTTTTTTTAAGAGATGACTGACATGGCCACAGCAGGGAAAAGTTGCTCTCACTCTCTTTTCCATGTGTTTTTGTTACATACATGTGGAGCTTCCTGAAACGGCCTATTCCAAACAAACCTGCAGCGCTGTCACAATGCTGCAGCAGTAAGTAACTCCAAGTTCACATTTTTCACCATATTCAACCCGTATCTGGGTTTTCACTGAGTCTTTTCAACCCAAAAAGACCTAAATATCTTGTTAGCAAGCTCAAATATTTAATTTTAGATTGAATCTAAATATTTAGTTTACAACCAAGTTAGTCGTAGTAAGACAATAAAAAACTTACGAGAATAGTCATAAAATTACGAGACTAAAGTTGCGGTTTTATGCAAACAGTCTTAATCGTGCGAGTAAAGGTAAAATATTGTAATTAAATTTCAATATTATGACATTATTGAAATATTGCAACTTTATTCACATAAATTTATACTTTATTCATGTAACACTTTGTCTTCATTCCTGTAATATTACAACTTTTCTCATGTTATTTTACTCTTGTACAACTTTATTCTCATAATATGATTTTATTCCAATTTACTTTCATTATTATGGCCCTAATATGCTGTTGTATTAGCAGAAATATTTAGCTCTTTCATAATTTGTATGCATTTTTTTTAATCAGTAAAAATTTAGCTTTAATTTGTTTTAAGCATAAGCATGAAATAAAAATAATATATTTTGAAACTGTTGACAATGGCCGCACAGAATCACTGGAAGGGCTGCAAATGGCCCTCTGGCCACACTTTTGACATCCCTATTTTAGCACTTATAGAAATTTAAATTTCCCATCATGCACTTCTGTTGCAGAGCTGCAAACTCGGACCTGTATACCCTCAATGGAGGGGGCCTGATGAGTAAACATCATTTATAATCTGGCACGAAGTGGCCACCTCTCCATTAGACTGATGATGACGGCTGCCTGTAGGAACCAGTGACACTTCGGTTATTTTATTTTTTTGCAGTGTGTTGCCTGGTAAATGAGCCAGCAATAATAATAATAGTAATAATAATAATAAAGTGGCGTGTGGAGTGGAGGTTTGAGGTTTTTTTAATACCACAGCGGAGAAAATGACGCGGTGGTGGCAACGAATGAATTAGAGAAAAAATAAATCGTGGGAAATGGAAAGAAAAGAAGGAGGGATGGAGGAAAAGCACGATCGATGATCAGTGAAGTAGCATTAGCATTGTTCACACATCTCTTTTCCTCCTGCGGCCCATCTTTCTTCTCTTGCTGCAGCGTTGCCATGGTGACCGAGAAAGGTGGGAATACCTCTGTCCTTCAGAGAGAAAGAAAAAGATGGAAAGAGACGTGGGGCTGACCCTAATAAACCCAAGGTTTTCCTTCACTATTAAGGGAATTCTGGGAAATAAAAAACTAAATTTTGAAGAAAAATGTAACAAATTTTATAGACTCAGGATGCAGCGATCCACTGTTTCCACCTCCGGTACCGATATCTAAGGTTCAGCATCAGCTGATACCGATCTGGCACAAAACTTTACCTGGTATTCTTTGTCTAGTTTCAACTGTAAATGTTTTAGTTCACTTTAAATAAGACAAAACTATCTTACAAATAACTTTTCAGAAAGAGAGGAGATTGTTTTAAGTAAATGATTCCTTATATTCATTTAAAGTGCTTTAGTGAAATTATTTCATTTATAACAAATTAAAAATGTCTTGCTAATAATCTACCAGTGGAACTAGAACATATCCATCACTATTATGCAATTAATTTAAATGCAAAATCTACATATTTTGTACAGTTTTGGTTTAATTACTGCTCTGAATATGTTGGTTTTCAGCAAATTTGTTTTTTTTTTAAATTTATAAAAACTCCAGTTAGTGATTAATCAATTGCTAAATTATTTCAGCCTAACTCAGTGTTTTTCAAAGTGGGGGTCGTGGCCCACTGGAGGGTCGCCAGGTGGCACTAAGGGGACCTCAGAAAGTTGGAAGGAAGATGAGAAAACCTATTTAAAAATAAAGATAAAATATTTAAATATAAATTCTTTAAACCAGGTTTTTTTATATACATATCTGTTTTTAAGTCTACAAAATAAAAGTAGACGATGAAGACGTAAATAGCCTTTATTGTCCCACAGAAAGCTCATTTTCTGATTGGCTGCCTGTCAAATTTATCAAACTGTTTTCTCCTGAAGCTAGAAATAGAAAAGTTCCTGACAAGAAAAACAAACCATATAAACTGTGGGGATTAAACAAAATTAGATCAGGTTATATTACATATTTTCTTATTGGGATTGTGATGGAAATGTTTATCTGCTAGACAAAACAGAACTAGTTTCAAACTAAAATCAGAAGGTATGAGGTTAGCATTGATGTTAAATGGATATAATAATACTAATTGTGAGTTTTTGCATCAGGTTTTTGACCTCTAACTCGTCCCGGTGACCTTCAGGGTCGCCATGAGGGACCCACTCCAAGCCAGCCTGTCGTGTTTCCTCTCCTTCCCTTTTCTCCCACATCGCTCTCACCTTCGTGCCAACCTGCTGCAGCGATCCTCCTCGAATTCATTTTATTGGCAGCTAGCATTTCCATGGAAACATCTCGAAACCATGGCAACTGTTCCAACCGAGCCAAGCGCTTTCAGAACTGCTGCACAGTCTGCTTCTAGTCTCCCTTGCGCTATTTTTACCCCCCTCTCTGGTTTACCTGCTCTCAGATGTTCACATGTTACACCTGTGGGATTCATCTACAGTCAGAGAGCGACTGCGAGGCTGGAAAACTGGAAACTTCATGCAGGAAAATCGGCTCTGATTTGAAACCTCAGGCATCCTTAAAAGGTCTTAAATTCACAAATCTAAAGTGTCTTAAATTAATTGAAAAATAATAAATGGGCTATAAATACATTGATCACAAGTCTTACATTTTGTCGTAGCAGGATTATTTAGTTTCATATTTTAAGTACTTTTAGTTTTTCTGGCTGGATTTTACTGTGACGCAAAGCTTTGAGTCGCGCTCACATGCTAAGTAGCTGCAAAAACACCCTTACTAGCTAGCTACACTGCAAAAACACAAGATCTTACCAAGTAGTTTTGTCTAGTTTTATTATTTTGGACGAAATGTCTTCCTATCATAACAGAAAATGACTACATTGACATAGTGACTGAAAATAATTCCAAGCACTGCAAAAACACAAAGTCTAACCAAATATTTTTGTTCCAGTTTCTAATGCAAATAACTTATTACATTTGAAATGAGACAAAACTAACTTACAAGTAAATTTCAGCAATACAAACGACATTCAATCCTTAATATTGTTTTTTTTTTTTGTTGTTTTTTTAAGTATTAGTTTCACCGACAGATTATTTTAAATATGAGATGTTAAAATGTCTGGTTATAGATTAAATATTCTGCTATTGAATTATAAAACAAGCTTTATTTCTTGCTGAAAAGTGACTTGTACATTAGTTTTTTCTTAATTCAAGTGTACTAAGATAAGTGTACTTGCTAAGATTTTGTTTTTGGAGTGTAATATTTAAATATTTCCATTTTTGTTGGTGTAATTGTTTTAATGACAGCTGCTCCAGGCGGTTTTTTTACTTCACCGTTTGACAGCAGATGAGTCTCTCCAACCCTGAATTCAGCGAGCAAGCAAGAAAATAAATGCTCAACAGCAGCACACTCTAAAATAATAACACTATTACTAAACATAATGCAGATGAAAGCACAGCCATATACACAAGCCTGTTCCCCACAGACCTCTGGATTTGCTCAGTGGGAGAGAAAAACAATTACAGCAGCATGAAATGAATAAAAGGTATATTCAGCTATCTGGGTCCTTTGAAGATGGTTGAGGACGAGTAAGCAAATCTAATTCAACGGCGGCGGTTTTTTGGTTGCAGAGAAAAAAAAAAAAATCCCAAAGTGCAAAGATTAGACGGCAGTACTGGCAGCTTCTTCTTCCTCACCGGGGAATCGTTTCTGTGTGTGTGTGTGTTGGATTGCAACAGACCAATCTGCTCTGCAAAAGAAAAAAAAAAGAAGCCCTCCATGTCTGCAGGATTCCTGGGAGCTGATGATGAGGTGAGGACATTATGATCAAACGCATGCAGAGAGAACAAAATGAACACATTCAAAAGGAGAGGGAGATAATTTAACAAAATAAACGAAGAATCCAACAACAACGCGCCTCCATGAGTCCTTCCTATGAAATTCATCCCATTTCTGGAACCACGTTAGACGGAGTAATGCAGGAATAATTTATAGGAAAAGTTTGAGGTTTTCACTACAATGTTCGATAAAGAAACGTAAACATGCTACGCCACACATCGGCCTTTGCCGTGGCTTTGATTCTTCAAATTACACATACAGATAAAATATTTTCTCAATCCCATTCACACCACTACTTTACACCACTGCCAACACACCAGAACTATATTTTGTGTTCAGTATTTTTATTTTTTTGCCATGCATTTTGGAAGGTAAAACCATTTCCCTATTGAAACTTGATGAAATAAAGGGGCGAGCCCTGTCATAATATTAAAACCTAAAACAAGTTTTTCTTGTATTTTGAAGACAGAAGCTCATATCAGTTTGGTTTTGATGGGGAAGTTATTTTAAAACGCTAGGATAACTAAAAACATGTGGTTATAAAGGGAGTCTTTTTTTAGTTAGCGAAGTCTGCCACTGGATCCAAGGTATGTTTTTATTACAAAATTAAGATCAACATGATTTATAACTGCTTAAGTTTAGCAAAAAATAAATCCACCACATAGTGTTTAAATGCTGTAGAAACTATGTAACATAAATGAGAAGAACGCAGCAGAAAATGGCTGAAAATAGAAGTATTGCTTAACATAATTAAACCAGTTTTAGTTCTGAAAATGATTTTTAAACTGTTTTTAATAAGGATTTGTAACTGTGTTTTGATTAAATTAAAATTTTTGATGATTTTTTTTTGCAACTATTGATCTTTTGCAACTACGTCACTAAATGGTTGGAGGCGCCATGATGGACGTCTGAAGTGAGGGACAGAAGTATTGATCAGAGCGACTGAAATCGTTTTCCAAATTTGTTTTTGCCAGGTTAGTCGTGGGATTTACTTGTTCGAGTCGAGCTAATTTATCAGCGAACGTAACACACCTGGTTGGGGCTCACAGACGGCGGTACAAAAGTTGGAAATCGCTAGTTTAGAAACCGACCAGTTCCTCCTCTCTCCTGACGTGTTGATCAAATTACCGACTTTGCCTGAATTGACACCACATGATTTATATCACTGTGTCATAAACAGCGTTTCCCCTTAAACCGGAGCAGCCTTAAAAACGTACAAAAGACGAGATGCTAACCAGTTATTTCCATTCATGCTAGGCTACATGACGGTGCGGCATTGTCTCCATGGTTACCAATGGTTAGACGCCTTCCTTCTCCATAACGCGACATTAAATATCTTTAAAATCTTACCTACTTATAAAGCATATGAACGTTAATCTTCTTACCTTGTAAAAAGTGCTCGCTGCAAAGGTTACAGATGTCTGTTTTCAGACTAGCTTTAAAGGAGCGCATTGGTTGTCTTGACGTTCGTCATGGCGGAGTGGGCGGAGTTATGAAGAGCGTGACGTCATGTCCAAACGTCAATAGTTTATTTTATCCGTTTTAGTTCTGAAAACTATTTTTTTATGGAGAGCCATTTGCGCCAAAATTAACTAAATAAATAAATGGGTTAA